AGTTAGAGGCTTTTCTTGCCACCCACCCCCTCCATGTTTTAAATACAGGTACTCACACCCATTTTGATCCTCGGACTCGCACTCTCTCTTGCATCGATCTCCCAGTCTGCTCTTCCTCCGCCGCATTAGACTTCACTTGGTCTGTTCTTCCGGACTTACATGACAGTGATCATTTCCCAATCATTCTTACTTCCCCTTCGCATCCCACGCTGGCAATTTGATCAGGCAAATTGGAACCTTTACTCACACCTAACTGTTTTTAGAGAGGTTCCTTCTTCGTCCTCCATCGATGAGCTTTTACACCTCTTCTCGTCCTCCGTTTTAACCACAGCTTCTCATTCTATACCCCAAACTTCGGGCAGGCATTCTCAGAAATGCGTGCCTTGGTGGACTCCTGCTTGTGCTCGTGCAGTACGTTTGAAACGCGCTGCATGGGGCAGGTACCGGTACAATAGAACCACAGAGAGACTTCTTGATTTTAAGCAGAAGCGTGCGATCGCTCGCCGTATCATCCGTGACACTAAACGCACTTGCTGGCGAGATTATGTCTCCACCATCACCTCTGCTTCCTCTATGAGTGCAGTCTGGAAAAAAGTACAAAAACTGAGTGGTAAATATTCTCCTGACCCGGCTCCTGTTCTGCGGGTTGCCGGTGTTGATATAGCAAACCCACTAGATGTTGCCAATGAAATTGGCAATCATCTGGTCCGCATTTCTCAGGGACTCCATCTATGCCCCTCATTTCTTTCCTCAAAGTCTGCCAGAGAGTTAGCACCCTTGGACTTTTCTTCTCTCAGGGAAGAACAGTATAATGTGCCTTTTACACTTCAAGAACTGGAGGCAACACTCTCAGCTTGCCGATCATCAGCAGCTGGGCCCAATCACATTCATATTCGTATGCTACAACATTTACATCAGTCAGCCCTTGCAGTCCTATTACGCCTTCACAATCTTATTTGGTCACAAGGAGTTCTTCCACAGCTGTGGAAATCCGCCATTGTTCTCCCTTTCCGCAAACCAGGCACTATGGGACATAAAACCTCCCACTATCATCCCATTGCTCTTACCAGTGCAGTTTGCAAAGTGATGGAACGCCTAGTAAATAGACGTTTAGTGTGGTATTTAGAGACGCACAACAGTCTCTCCACTCGTCAATATGGCTTTCGTAAGGGACGTTCTACCATAGACCCCTTACTACGCTTGGTACGTATGTTCGTAATGCCTTGCGAATAACCACTCAGTTATTGCCATATTTTTTGACCTTGAGAAGGCATATGACACTACTTGGAGGTATAATATTTTAGCCCAAGCCCACTCCTTAGGCCTTCGAGGCAATCTACCATCCTTCCTTAAGAACTTTTTAACTGACAGGCATTTCCGTGTTCGGGTTAATAATGTGCTCTCCCCGGACTTTATCCAAGCTGAAGGTGTCCCCAGGGATGTGTTCTGAGCACAACACTTTTTCTCCTTGCTATTAATGATTTGGCCTCTTGTCTTCCATCAAATATTTGGTCATCACTCTATGTTGATGACTTCGCTATTGCCTGTGCAGGCGCTGACTGTCACCTTATTACAGTTTCTCTCCAACATGCAGTCGACGTGTTTCCAATTGGGCCACCACACGTGGGTTTAATTTTCCAGCACTAAAACCCACCAAATTACTTTCACTAGACGCTCTGTCATCTCCGATCATCCTTTGTACCTCTATGGCTCCCGTATCCCTGACGTGATACAGTCAAGTTTCTGGGCCTCTCTTTGATCGTAGGTTATCCTGGAAACCTCACATTACCTCTCTGAAGGCAACTTGTCACAGCGGCTGAACCTTCTTAAAACCCTTGCTCATCTTTCATGGGGAGCTGATCGTCGAACCTCCTTCGCCTACATTCCACCACTTATTTTATCGAAACTTCATTATGGTGACCAGATCTATTCAGCGGCATCTCCTGCTACTCTCTCTAGCCTTAACCCCATTCATCACAAGGATTACGTTTATGCCTTGGTGCTTTTCGCTCTTCCCCTGTCGAGAGCCTCTATGCAGAAGCGAACGTTCCATCCTTATCCGATCGCCGTGATGCCCGTTGCCTTCGCTGCTATGTACGCTCTCATGATCTCCGCAATCCTTCCATTTATAGAATGGTCACTGATATTAGTAGACATTCTTTATTTGTTCGCCGCCCGTTTACTCCGTCCCTTCTCTCTTCGCCTTCATTCGCTCTTGTCTTCTCTTCAATTACCACCTTTCTATGTACATGTAGCATCTCACTTTTCCCTACCTCCCTGGGAAGTTCCAGCTGTTCGAGTCTGTTCTTTCTCTCTCCCTTGCTCGAAAGCCCAACTGTCTACGGTCGCTTCCCGCTCTCTTTTTCTTGACCACTTTCACTCTCATTCTCATGCCATTGCTGTGTACACAGATGGCTCTAAGTCTTCTGACGGCATAGATTCGCAGCAATGTTTCCAGACAGCGTCGTACATGGGCATTTACTATCTTCGGCTAGTATTTTTACTGCTGAATTGTATGCCATCCTTACAGCACTTATCCGTATTGCATCTATGCCTGTGTCATCATTTGTGGTTGTCTCAGACTCCCTTAGTGCTTTACGGGCTATACAAAAAATTTGATACACCTCACCCCTTAGTCTCTTATCCAACTTTGGCTACGTCGCATCTTACCAAGCATAAAGATATTGTTTTTTGTTGGGTCCCTGGTCAGAGACTGTGCGCGGTAGGGAGTACATGACCTACCAGTTTTTATGTAGAGGTATTCCATTTACGGACTATTTTGCTGCAATAAACTTCCCAACTTCACACCCGTTGGCAACAACGTTGGTCTACTATCTCGGCAACAAATTCAATCATTAAACCGAGTATAGGGTTTCTGGCCGTCTTCTTATCACCAGTGTCGAGGTTGGGGGACTACTCTCTCCGTCTTCGCATCGGGCCATACTCGTCTTACTCATGGGTATCTCATGGAGAGGCGGGCCCTGCTCCTCTCTGTGGAATTGCTAAGTTCCCTTATCAGTCAGCCACATTCTGTTGGACTGCCCACTTTATCAACGAGCACGCAGAATTTACGTCCGTCGTTGTCTTCGCTCTGCTGCTCTCTCTTTACCTTCCCTTCTCGCTGATGGACCCACCTTTCATCCAGACTCTCTCATTGACTTTTTGACAACAACTGACTGACTTCACAAATTCTGATACCTTCAGCCCTTTCTACTTCAATCTCTTGCTACCCTCTACCCCCGTACTATCCCCTGCCCCGCTGTTTTCTGTAACCTACTGATCATCCCTCCTCCCTTCTGCCATCCAGTACCCTCGCTTCCTTCCCTACCCTGCAGCGCTGTATAGCCCTTGTGGCTTAGCGCTTCTTTTTGATTATAATAATAATGCCAAGCGTCCAATACACGTCAACTGGTGAGTCTAATATTCTTTCACAGTTGCGCTGATATTATTTATACCATTTCTACACTAATGCAGTAGTCTGCATAACAGTAAATCTTCTATTTTTTGTAAGAATAAAAATTCAAAGTGGAAAGCCAAAGAAATATAAGAGGGGCCTGGGGATGTGACTAACGAACAGAGAACTTATTTTAGTGCCAGGAATGTCTTTCTTGTTTATTCTGGACCCTATTCGGAAATTGGCATTTTTTTGAAATTTGTGTGAAATTGGCAAAATTGGTAAATTCTGACCACTTTATTGGATAGTTGAAATCGGTAAATGGGTGGTTTCTTGTGCTCATTCGATAGAACAAATGGAGTTCTAGCGAAATAGTTATGATATTTGCCGACTAGTACACTGGAATTGGCTGAAAATAGGGCTCAAAGTCGGCAAAATCGCTGATGCGTAAACATCGTCGAGACCTTTAACTTCGCGAGAGCATACTTCTGTAAGTTTTCCATCAAATTTCATACTTTTGGTGTCATTATGATCAGGAAAAGATTCTCTATCTTTTCATAAGAAATTTTTTTTTTTTTTTTTTAAATTTTGGCGACCATGAGAACAAGTCTCTGAGAGGGCCTGTGGACCCCCAAAAGGTTAAGTGCTCTAATGTCCTCATTAGAATGAATTGGACAGTCTATTTTGGTGTCATCAGCAAATTTCCTTATGTCGCTAATTATTCCCTCATCTGTATCGTTTATCTATATCTATCACAATTCATCTAATATAACATAATGAACAATATTAATAACGTAGAAACATGATATATACTCTAGAATGAATAAAATATGTCATAATGTATGAGAGGATAAGTGATGGAAGTGTTGTTGTTGGGTTTATAAGGGCCACTGAGAGAAGCTGTACAGGCTTCTGCCACCAACACTATCCACAAACAATATATGACCGTAATTTATAAATTAGAAATATTTACATTTTAATTTATAAATAAGAAATATTTGCACTTACCTCGGAGATGTTAGTTTAATTATGTATTTAGTTTGATGGAGTGTAGCAGGCATGCTGGAAGTGTAGCAGACATGCAGGGAGTGTAGCAGGCATGCTGGAAGTGTAGCAGGCATGCAGGGAGTTGTAGCAGGCATGCTGGGAGTGTAGCAGGCATTGCAGAAGTGTAGCAGGCATGCTGGAAGTGTAGCAGGCATGCAGGGAGTGTAGCAGGCATGCTGGAAGTGTAGCAGGCATGCAGGGAGTGTAGCAGGCATGCAGAGAGTGTAGCAGGCATGCAGGGAGTGTAGCAGGCATGCTGGAAGTGTAGCAGGCATGCAGGGAGTGTAGCAGGCATGCTGGAAGTGTAGCAGGCATGCAGGGAGTGTAGCAGACATGCTGGGAGTGTAGCAGACATGCTGAGGCTCTGGTTAGGGTGTGTAGGAGAGAGGGAGATTACAAGTAAAAGTAGGTCTTAGACAGGGATGTGTAATGTCACCAAGGCTGTTTAATATATTTATAGATAGGGTTGTTAGAGAAGTAAATGCTAGAGTGTTGGGGAGAGGGGTGGGGTTAATTTAAGTAAATGAAAAATTTAATAAACCAAAAATTCCTTTTTCAGTTTTATGGACAGCTACAGGACCTGCCCACCATCTTACGCCACATCTGGGCAGAACTATTCACCTGGCGTGGTATTGAAATGTTGTCAAGATTCAGATTTATTATTTGTGTTGCCACTGCTATTATATATGCAATAACACCCATTGACCTAATTCCAGAGGCCTTTTTGGGTCTTCTTGGGCTCATTGATGATGTTGTAGTCATTGCTTTCTTGTTGATACAAGTTAGTGTTGTTTACCGTACAGTGGTGGCTAATAGGGACTGGTAGAACTACCATCATTATATTAAAGGTAATTTTATATTATGGCAAGAATTAAGAATTCAACAGTACTTTAAGGTAAGAGCAAGATTTTTTGTATATTTTTAATTTTAAAATACAGTACTGTGTATAAAAATGCTCTTCTTATATAAAATCTTTTAATGCTGTTGCTGTGTTTAAACTTAAAATACTAAACTGGAAAAAATAAATTATAAAATTAATGTACTGTAGTTTTTTAATTTATTAAAAGTGCAGTGATGTTAATTCAACTTATATGCAAATCATGTGGGTTTTTTTGTGCGGTACCAAATTTTTTTTAGCGTGTGAAAGCTTAATACTGAACTAACATCAGAGAGGAACATAAATCTGGTGTATTTCTTATCTCAAGTTATATGATCTTTATAACTTACATATCTAATCAATACTTGGAATGCCTTAAAATGAAATATCACAGAGTGTGCCTGCTCGTAGATAGAAAATACTTTTGAAGTGAATTGCTTTAAAAAAATCTTCATGTGCTGTTAATTTTCTGCTTGGCATACCTGTTTAATATCACTTGGTCAGAAGTTGAATATGCTTAATAAGTGAACACTAATAATTAAAGTTAAATTTATGGTAGTCATTGTTGAATGAGAGTATTGGTCATAATTCTTTGTGGTGCAGTGTATAAAATAATCTATAGTTTTTATTGCTTATTATTTATAAATACTGTATGCCAAAATAAAATAAAAAATTATTATATATACAACTCAAAATATTTATTGCATAAATTACCCTTCTGTAATAAGTAAGGAGGTATTTTAGACTAGAAATATATTAGATAAAAGCTGTATTTTTCTCTGACTTTATTCATAAAGACAGTAAAACAATAGAGTATTTGCTCTTGTAACTTGTGATGTGTGTTATCTTAGGTTGCTCTGATGCAGACACAAGCAAGATAACTTTTATATGCACTGTGATGCAATACAATACTGAAGACATTAGCTAGTGCCAAAACAGGTTCTTATAACTGCTTTGTTGCTACATTCAAAATACAATATGTAAACTTTTATTACACATTGGCCGTTTCCCACCAAGGTAGGGTGGCCTGAAAAAGAAAACTTTCACCATCATTCACTCCATCACTGTCTTGCCAGAGGCGCGCTTACACTACAGTTATAAAACTGCAACATTAACACCCCTCCTTCAGAGTGCAAACACTGTACTTCCCATCTCCCAGACTCAAGTCTGGCCTGCCAGTTTCCCTGAATCCCTTCATAAATGTTACCTTGCTCACACTCCAACAGCATGTCAAGTCCTAAAAACCATTTGTCTCAATTCACTCCTATCTAACACGCTCACGCATGCTTGCTGGAAGTCCAAATGCCTCACACACAAAACCTCCTTTACCCCCTCCCTCCAACCTTTCCTAGACCAACCTCTACCCCACCTTCCCTCCACTAGAGATTTATACACTCTTGAAGTCATTCTATTTCGTTCCATGTCCGAACCACCTCAACCTCTCCTCAGCCCTCTGGATAATAGTTTTGGTAATCCCGCATCTCCTCCTAGTTTCCAAACTACGAATTCTCTGCTTTATATTCACACCACACATTGCCCTCAGATACGACATCTCCATTACCTCCAGCCTTCTCCTTGTTGCAACATTCACCATCCATGCTTCACACCCATATAAGAGCATTGGTAAAACTATACTCTCATACATTACCCTCTTTGCTTCCATGGACAAAGTTCTTTGTCTCCACAAACTCCTCAGTGCACCACTCACCTTTTTCCCCTCGTCAATTCCATGATTCACCTCATCTTTCATAGACCCATCTGCTGACACATCCACTCCTAAATATCTGAGTACATTCACCTCCTCCACTCTCCTTCCAACCTGATATCCAATCTTTCATTACCTATTTTTTTTTATCTTACTCTTTCCTATATTCACTTTCAATTTTCTTCTTTTACATACCCTACCAAACTCATCCACCAACCTCTCCAACATCTCTTCAGAATCTCCCAAAAGCACAGTGTCATCAGCAAAGAGCAACTGTGACAACTCCCACTTTGTGTTAGATTCTCTATCTTTTAACCCCAAACCTCTTGCCAACACCTGAGCATTCACTTCTCTTACAACCCCATCTATAAATATATTTTACAACCATGGCGACATCACACATCCTTGTCTAAGTCCTACTTTTTCTGGGACATAATCTCTCTCTCTCCTACATACTCTAACCTGAGCCTCACTATCCTCATAGAAAACTTTTCACTGCTTTCAATATACCTCCTATTCCATACATTTGCAACATCTGCCACATTGCCCCCTCTATCCATCATGTCTTTACCAAATTCATAAATGCCACAAAAAACTCTTTACCCTTATCTAGATACTGTTCATCTATAAGTTTTGTTGTAAACACTTGGTCTACACACCCTCTACCCTTCCTAAAGCCTCCTTGTTCATCTATCCTGCTCTTCGTACTCTTAATTCTTTCAATAATAACTCTCCCATCCACTTTACCAGGTATACTCAACAGACGACGACTTCTTTCAACAGACCAGCCGTATCCCACCAAAGCAGGGTGGCCCAAAAAGAAAACCAAAAGTTTCTCTTTTTAACCCTTTCAGGGTCAAGACCCCCAATCCTGATCTCGCACTCAGGGTTGAAAATTTTTCAAAAAAAAAAATTCTGAAATGATAATCTTTTCCCGATGGTATTGACACCAAAAGTATGAAATTTGATGGAAAACTTACGAAATTACGCTCTCATGAAGTTAGCGATATCAGCGATATTTATGCATCAGCGATTTTGCCCACTTTGAGCCCTATTTTCGGCCAATTCCATTTTTCCAGCCAACTAAAATCATAGTTATTTCACTAAAGCTCCATTTGTTCTATCGATTGAGTACAAGAAACCTCCCATTTACTGATTTCAACTACCCAATAAAGTGGTCAGAAATTGGCAATTTGGCCACTTTCACACAAATTTCAAAAGATGCCAATATCAAAATAGGGTCCAGAATAAACAAGACAGATGACATTCTTGGCACTAAAATAACATTTTCCCTGTTCATCAGTCACATCTCCAGGCCCCTCTTATATTACTCTTGCTTTCCATTTTTAATTTTTCTCACAAACCCCTCAAAGGAGGTTCCTTGATGCTGAAGGGCTCTTGATCTAGGGAATTAGAGCTATGCTCCAGTTCCCTGAATTGAGCCTGAATACCTTCCATCCCTCCACATGCGCTTTGTAATCCTACGGGTTTAGTGCTCCCCATGATTATAATAATATTCTCACAAAAAATAGAAGATTGTTATGCAGACTACTGCATTATTGTAAAAACGGCATAAATTATATCAGCGCACTTGTGAAAGAATAATAGACTCGCCAGTTGATGTGAATTGGACGCGTGATGTGATTTGTTTACTCTTGAACATCTGCAAAATCGAACATTTCCGCTATTTTGAGCTCAATTTCAAGGTAATTTTCGTGAAACCAATCAAAATCATCTATTTCTGTAATATATCTTCCATTCTACCAATTAAGACCAAGAAAAAAGAGAATACAACTATAAAAACCATACAAAAATACACTGCAAAGTCACTGTTTTAAACTAAAAGCACAGTCGGAGTTTTTTTTTTCTCATGCACTGCATGCTGTAGGATTTTTTTTATACTGTGCACAATGACCATGCAGACCCATTCTTTCATATGTATACCTACCAGCTTTTTTCTGCTCGATTTGAAGGTGCTAGAATTTTGGCGTATAAGTATGGCACAACCCTAGCTCTCAAGCCGTACATGTATGGTACCGACCCTGGCTCTCAAGCCGTACATGTATGGTACCAACCCTGAAAGGGTTAAATATAATAATTTATACAGGAGAAGGGGTTATTAGCCCCTTGCTCCAGCATATTAGTAGCCTCTTACAACACGCATGGCTTACAGAGGGGGAATTCTGTTCCACTCACCCATGGAGATAAGAGGAAATAAACAAGAACGAAAACTAGTAAGAAAATAGAAGAAAACCCAGAGGGGTTGTGTATATATATGCTTGTACAAGTGTAGTGTGACCTAAGTGTAGGTAGAAGTAGCAAGACATACCTGAAATCTTGTATGTTTATGAGACAGAGAAAGGACATCAGCAATCCTACCATCATGTAAAACAAGTACAGGCTTCTGTTTTACATTCACTTCGCAGGACGGTAGTACCTCCCTGGGCAGTTACTGTCTACCAACACTCAACATAGTCCCCTGTAATTTTTGCATTCTCTTTTGTCCCCTTTACCTTTATACAAATGAACTATGCATGCTCTCTGCCAATCCCTAGGTACCTTACCCTCTTCCATACATTTATTAAATAAAAGCACCAACCACTCCAAAACTATATCCCCACCTGCTTTTAAAATTTCTTTCTTTATCCCATCAATCCCAGCTGCCTTACCCCCTTTCATTCTACCCACTGCCTCACAAACTTCCCCCACACTCACAAACGGCTCTTCTTCGTGCCTAAGAGATGTTATTCCCCTTGCCCTATACACAAAATGACAGCTTCCCTATCTTCATCAACATTCAACAATTCCTCAAAATATTCCCTCCATCTTCCCAATACCTCTAACTCTCCATTTAATAACTCTCCTCTTCTATTTTTAATAATCAAATCTATTTGTTCCCTAGGCTTCCTCAACTTATTACTCTCACTCCAAAACTTTTTCTTATTTTCAACAAAATTTATTGATAACATCTCACCCACTCTCTCATTTACTCTCTTTTTAAATTGCTTCACCACTCTCTTAACCTCTCTTTTCCTCTCCATATTCTCCTTCCTTCTTGCATCACTGCTGTATAGTCCTTGTGGCTTAGCGCTTCTTTTTGATTATAATAATAAGAATAATAATAATAATTCTTGCATCACTTCTACTTTATAAAAACCTCTCGTATGCTAACTTTTTCTCTCTTACATCTCTTTTTCTCTTTACATCATCAATCCACCAATTACTCTTCTTCCCTCCTGTAACCACAAACTTCTGCTGAACACTCTAACACTACATTCTTAAACCTACCCCATACATCTTCAACCCCATTGCCTATACTCTCACTAGCCTATCTGTCCTCCATTACTTGTTTATGTCTTACCCTAACTGCCTCCTCCTTTAGCTTATAAACCTTTACCTCTCTTACCTGCTGCTTCCATTTTCCTTGTATCCCATCTATCTTTTACTCTCACTGTAGCTATAACTAAAATGTGATCTGATATATCTGTGGCCCCTCTGTAAACATGTACATCCTGAAGTCTACCCAACTGTCTTTTATCTCCTTACACATAGCCCAACAAACTACTGTCATTACACCCTATATCATATCTTGTTTACCAGTTTATCCTCTTTTTCTTAAAATATGTATTACCTATAACCAAACCGCTTTCTATGCAAAGTTCAATCAAAGGCTCCCCATCATCATTTACACCTGGAACCCCAACTTACCACACCCTCTAAACGTTTCTCCTACTTAAGCATTTAGGTCCCCTACCACAATTACTTTCTCACTTGGTTCAAAAGTTCCTACACCCTCGCTTAACATCTCCCAAAATCTCTCTTTCTCCTATACACTCCTCCCTTCGTCAGGTGCACACACACTTATTATGACCCATTTTTTGCATCCACTTCTATTTGCTAACACTAATTTTAAATCTATAACATTGGTTTTGGTTAACTGTATGGTGTATGTAGAATAGTTAAAAAAATAATTGAGGGAGTATTATCTCTAAGATCTGTACAGATACATGTATAATTATCCTGAGTTAAGACATTAATGTATTTGTGGTTGACTAGAAGTTTGTTTGAAACTTAATGCATCTTTTGCACTTCACTTATCCAGGAATAAGGCAAGACTAATAGAAGCAAATGTTAACACCATAATAGAACATTGAAGCTGGATATACAGTAAGGTCCCACTTTACGGCATTCCGCTAATACGGACATTTCAAATTATGACCAAAACTCGCTATGCGACTCCCCCCCCACCTGACTTTCTAATACAGTCACCGTGCCCCAACCGGTTTGTTTACATTCTTCATGAACACCACATCTCTCCATTATGTCTGGAAACTTAACAAAATTTCAAGTGTTTTACAATTATTTTATGTTTTATATATTCTCTGATAATTATCAGAGTATATATATCAAGCTCTCACTTGCAAACAGCCAGGGAATTGTTGGTAATTCCCTTTCAGTGTGGAGAGAGGGTATTGAAGTCTCAGTCTCATTGCACTTACTGACTTAACTTTTAGTGTACCCATTGCACCCCTGCTTTGCAGTGGGGGTATTTTGCACACACTGCCCAGCAGCTTGTTTTAATAGGGAATTATTTTAGTAGTACGCAGATTTGGGACCAATCCCTTCAGAATTTTCAAGGTGTAAATTACAATGTATCTTTCTCACGTATAGTCCAAGGAGTAAAGTTCAAGGACTTCAAGGATTCCCAGTAATTTAGGTGCTTGACTGACTTTTATACATGCAGGGCAGGTTCCCTAAGATGTCATTTTTTTAGAAATGATTTACTTTTATTGCTGAGGCCTACACCAGGTTGGATATAGAACCTGAAATTCATAATGAATGTATGCACATTATTTAATATAAAATTTTTGCTTCATGAATGATTTCTGCTCTCATTATTTTTTAAATTGCACTTCTGTACTGTACTTTAATTATCTTCATAGAAATGAATGAATAAATGAAATCAGTGTGCGAGCTCATTCAGGTTACTTCTTTCCTTGCCCATCATACATCACATCAGATATTTTTTCCATTTAATTTTTTCTGTTAAAGGAAATTATTTTGACCTAGTATGCCAAATGCCTGGGACACTGACCTAATTTGCCCGAAATGCGGAGCATAACAAGGGACTTTCTATATAGTAGTATGTCATTGTTATCAGCTAGGCCTGTATACCCTGTACATGTACTTGTAGTAAAATAAAGATATTATTATTATTATTATTATTATTATTATAAGTATTTCAGACATAATTCTCACATTATAACACAATTTGGGCATAATAATACTGTTTTTTCTTAATTTGTCATATATTTCTCTTCATAAACTGACCCAAAGAGGGAAACATTTACCCTCATTCATGCCTTAGCTGCCTTGCGAGATATGCAAGGTTACCACAATTTAAATAGCCTTCCAGGCTGCAACATCCCCCACCTTTCCTTCATAGTGTAGGCATTGCACTTCCATCCTTCAGAACTCAAGTCCAGCTAACCATTTTCACAGTATCTTTTCGTAAACATTGTCTTCTTCCCCCTCCAAGAGCATGTCAAATCCTAAAACAAACTGGTCTCATAGAAACTAGTACTCATACATAACTCTTCAGGGCATTCTCCCAAGTACCAGAAGCTATATTTCACTATAAAATGTAGTGTCTATAAAGACTAAGTTCTTGATTTAAAAGAATTCAGAAATACAGGAAACAGTGGATATAGTCTGTTGGTTATAGAATTGTCCATTGTTGTTACAATAATGGCAAAACAATTTCATTTCTGTGCACCATGATCAATACTACCAACCACCCATTCCCCCTCCTCTATTAGTCCATTAAATCAGGGGTTTACTTTACTCGCCTATATGTGGTTGTAGGGGTCTAGTCCTAGCTCCTGGCCCACCCTCTCAGTTGCCGCTTACCAGATTCACCGCCTCCTTGCCTTATGGGCCTGTTGTACTTACTCTTAAAGCTATGTAGGAAGCAGAGGCTGACTGGCCATACAAGCATTTGGGCAATGCCTGGTGGACCACTGTGTAGGGTAAAAAAAAAAAAAAAAAAAAAAAAGAAAGAAAAAAAATGTCATAAAAAACTAAAGTCACAGCCACTGCACAAAGATTGAAACGAAAATGGAATGCGCCTTAGTTGAGCAGTGAAGACACGCCTCTGACCCTCAGCAGTTAATGAGCCGACTTGATGCCTTGCCAGTTTTAAAACGAAAATCCAATTCTGGTAGGAAGCCTGCCTCCACTACTTCTTCTTCAAGACCCTACTACTTCCTGACCACCTTGAGGTTGAAGAAATACTTCCTGTGCCTCAAATGTGTCTTTAACCCTTAAACAGTCCAAACGTATATATACGTTCACCTGCGCAGTGCCCCAAATATTTTGAGAAAAAACAATTGGTGTTTTTTATAGGAAAAAAGAGCATGTGGTATCCAGGCATCCCCATTTTTTTCATATGGCACACAGAGTGCGCACACCCATTCTCTCATGTCTAGGCGACTCAGGCCTATCGTGCCAATGTACAATAAATGACAAATGAAATGTATATATACGTTTGGGGCGCTATGCGAGAGAACGTATATATACATTTGGACCGTTTAAGGGTTAAAGCCCAGCTGTGCCCTCCCATTCCCCCCACGAGTACCTGTTTCCTGCCTTACAAATAGCCTATCCTTGTCTTCTCTATAAATTTTTCTTGATAGATTCAATTCTGTTAGCCTCTTCTGGCAGACGATACCCTTTTTCTCTAGAACTAGCCTTATTGCATGCCTCTGCACTTTCTCATTTCTTAACATGCTTTTTCAGGTGTTGGTTCCATGCAGGTACCACACAATGGAACTGGCAGAACATAACATAGGGATGAAGGAACATTGCAACAGGCCTACTGACCCATACTTGGCAGTTCCTTCTTAGCTAGTTATTCAAACAATGATTCTGCTCCCTCACACAAAATCCATGGTAGCACCTTGCCAGGCCCCATTGCCTTTGATATATCCAGCTCCATCAAAAGTTTTTTTCTTCCATCTCTCCTCTGTTGTGTGTATGTCATGCCAGTCAGTTGGTGTATTCTTCATTCTTACGTTAAAATGAACATCTTTTTTTTTTCCCCAGGCATTATATAAAAGATCTTGTCAAGATTGAGTCTGAGTTTGTTTGTTGTGACCCAAGTAGATATTTTAGTAAGTTTAGCACTTACTGTGTTATTGAGTGCAACCAGATCAGAATTTGAAATTACAAGTTATGTCATCGGCAAACAGAATTGGCTTAAGTTCCTGTGAAGCACTTGAAAAATTATTGATGTAATTTATGAAGAGCAGAGGTCTCAGGACACTACCTGGAGGAACTCCTATGTTGATTGATTGGGTTGCTGAAGAAGTTATTAATGGTTTCATATTATTATTATTATTATAATCAAAAAGAAGCGCTAAGCCACAAGGGCTATACAGCTATGGTTTCATGTTGGTGTCTGTGGTACAACTCCTGAATGGCTTCAAGCTTAATGTGATTGTGTATTTTAGAATATTGGTCTCTTTGGTCCCTCTGAAAATTTTAATTAGATTTGATCTGTGTATATTCTAATTTACCATCTTTATTTGAAGAAATTTGGATATTAGTTTCCATATGATAACTTATGAATGCCTCTTTTGATTTCCCTCAAATTTTCAACAATAATATTTAACTGCATTATCAACTTCTGCTGCACTCTGTATTGTTCCAGTTGTGTGCATTGAGGCATAGAGAACTGGGTTTGTAGAATATGAGGAATACCTTTCTCAGATTGCACAATGAGCAAAATATATCTAGTTTCATCATAAAGTATTTCCCATGTGTGGCGTATTTGATTTATTTTTTTATTAACACATTGGCCGTTTCCTACCAAGGCAGGGTGGCCCCCCAAAAAAAAACTTTCATCATTCACTCCATTACTGTCTTGCCAGAGGCATGCTTACACTACAGTTATAAAACTGCAACATTAACACCCCTCCTTCAGAGTGCAGGCACTGTACAGTGGAACCTCAAAAATCAAACTGCTCCCAGCACAATAAATTACGTAAGTGTATTTTTGTAAGTGCTTTTATAAGTGTATTTTTGAGGGTCTGAAATGGACTAACCTAATTTACATTATTCCTCATGGGAATAAATTCATTCGGTAAAGGCACTCGAACAGCCTTCTGGACCAAAGAAAGTTCGATATTTGAGGTTCCACTGTACTTCCCATCTCCAGGACTCAAGTCCTGCCTCCTGGTTTCCCTGAATCCCTTCATAAATATTACCCTGCTCACACTCCAACAGCATGTCAAGTTCTAAAAACCATTTGTCTCCATTTGCTCCTATCTAACACACTCATGCATGCTTCTTGGAAGTCCAAGCCCCTCGCACACAAAACCTCCTTTATCCCCTCCCTCCAACCTTTTCTAGGCCGACCTCTACCCTGCCTTCCCTCCACTACAGATTTATACACTCTTGATGTTATTCTATTTTATTTCATCCTCTCTGTAAGTCTGAGGATGGAATATATCTAACAAATTTCAAGGGCATTTCTACCCCTGAAGCCTGACCTGGGCTCAGGCTTCCATTTGTTGGCTTCCTAGTTAACCAGGCTATTTGTGGAAATGTCCTGCAGGCTCACATAGCCATCACAACCCAACTGATTTGACACTTGAACCAAGAAGCTGTACAGTCTCGTGAAAACTCCTTTGCTGCAGCAGTATTTCTGATATTTAAGACTTAAGAACTATAAAATATTTACAGTACAGATTAGCTACCTAAATACAGTATCGATAGTCACAGTTTTATTGCCTTTATTCTTTTTACAATTTTTGTGGTTTTCTGTTATTGTGAAATTAAAACTAAGAAAAATTTTGATTGAAAAAGCTCACACACAGAGGTCTGGAGTTCTAATCCCTTGTATAGCTGGAAAACATTAGGACGTGTTTCCATAAGACACCTGCTGCCCATGTTCACCCATCAGTGGGTACCTGGGTGTTAGTTGATTGGTGTGGGTCTCATCCTGAGGCAAAATTGACCTAATTTGCCTTAAATGCTCTGCAGAACAAGGGGTTTTCTATATAGTACATCATTGATGTCAGCTAGGCCTGTATACCTTGTACATGTATTTGTAGAAATATAGATATTATTATGATTATTATTATTCTCTTTCGTCACTTCACACACAATGTGTAATTTATTTTTATATTTATGAAAAAACACTAGACCTACATGGGCATCATGCTGGTGCGTACTGTTTGGATATTTTTTCTATAGTTCCTTGCTGTGATTATTGTGCAAATATTGTAATATTCAACAATAGATGTGCGAGCGCAAGAGTGGGACTTCCTGTATACATTGTAATTTGGTTACTTCAGAAACAGGAACAACACAATATTTTATATGAAAATCGTGTAATGTAGAATTTGTGTAATAAAAAGTATTATTATTCTAAATAACAAAAAAAGGCACAATACCGTGACTGGAACGATACACAAATAACCCGCACATAGAAGAGAGAAGCTTACGACGACGTTTCGGTCCGACTTGGACCATTTACAAAGTCACAGTGTGACTTTGTAAATGGTCCAAGTCGGACCGAAACATCGTCGTAAGCTTCTCTCTTTTATGTGCGGGTTATTTGTGTAATATTATTCTAGTCACAAACTGTGCAAGAGCATATTTGTTAGCTCTAGATTTTTGTTAATTTTTTTTAACTAGTTGTGTAGTATGTGCAGTTTTTAATATATGACTAATAAAATATCATACTTATGTCTATGGTGCCTTCAGGGAACATTCCCACTATTTGAAGATTCACTTAAAATATTTGCATAAGTTTTGCACTTGTCTTTTATGGGTAGTGCATGATTTAAACAGTTGCCAACATTTTGTGTTGAGAAGCAAGTTGCTGAAAAGGGATGAAGTTTGTTGCAGCACATACATGTTTAAAGTAGAAATAGGCCAGTTGTCACCAAATACAGTAGTATTCACTGAAAGAGAAATATGCATGTGGAGACACTGCAGCAAACTCAAGTGCTGATGTAGTGTGTATGGAATCAGTGAAAATAATCATCAGTGAGAGACAGGTATGCTCTTTAACCATTAACCTATTGTAATTGGGAAACCATTAATTAAAGAAGCAGAATTTACCATAGAATTGATTATGTATACAGTGTATCTTAATATAGCATCTCACAAGCCACTGAAATGTATGAGAATTGCAATTCACTATACTATACAGTATTTGTTTTCAAGATTTGTAGGCACTTTCAAATACATTTTCAAATAATGTAGTATACTGCATTTTATTTCAAACACAGCTGACCTCATTGATTAACCCTACAACTTTCTTTCAAATGTGCTTCCCTTGCCATATTTGTAAGTTTGTGCCTTAATATGTAAAATAAACGAAATGAATTTCTTAAAAATTTTATTTACTACCTCACTTTTATTGAGTAGTTTTTTCCGTTAATCTTTGCCTTGTTACTTAGAGGTATCAATAAGAAGGTAGTAGTGGTAGTGAAAAAAGGGGAAGAGGGTGAAGATTTAGGGAAGAGATAGTAATAGTAGAACAGCAGAGGTAGTCTAAGAACAAGAGAAAAGAAGAGCATTGCAGGAGAGTTTATGGCCCACAAGGGCCAGCAGTTTTGTCCCTCTGGGATATAGTCCTACCCTCGTGAATCATTAGCTATCCTGCAGTGCTCCTCTTTTCTCTTGTTATTAGACTCTGTGTTGCATGACCCTCATAGGTTTAGCACTTCTTATGATTATAATAATACAGCCTCTCCTCACTTAACGATAGGGTTCCATTCCTAAGGGTAGGTCAGTAAGAGAATTGGTCGTTAAGTGAGGAGCATACTATACAGGTAGTGGGTTCGTGTCAACTTTAGATATTTTTTTAATGTCTCCATTGCACCATTTATAACATTTCTAGTATATTTTTAAATGTTTATACAGTAGTATACTGTAATAAACAAACCAGAGGAAAACAGCTCTAATATACATTACTTAGGTCTGCATACTGGTTGGAGAGCTGGTTATAAGTCCAAGCAGTCGGTAAATGAGTACGTTGCTAAGTGAGGAGAGACTGTGATAATAATTGTTCTTAGAC